CTAACCGCCATTAGTGTTCTTATCCTGCCTTCTCTATTCCTATCCAATTTCAACGTTCTAGGACCACGGGAACAGGAGTTATGAACTTCCAGCCATACACATCACCATCACACACAAACAATCATACACATACACACGCATACACACACCACGCACACGCCTACATCGACACACTCATCAGCACACCTGCACACCGATACACACACTGGCACAGCTGCACACCAGCACACACACTGAACACTCGTGCAGACTGACACACGTGTTAAATTTTCCTACTATATATAATTCGCTAGGTGTGCTGTTGGTTTGTCGGTGTGATTGTGCGTGCGTGTTTGGGTGTACGTTGGTGTGTGTGTCGGTGTGTGTGTCCGACCGGAAATTCGTAACCTCTGTTTCCGTGGAACTGAAGAGTTCAAACTTGGTAGGAGTACGAGAGACAGGATTGAAAACCTCATGGCAGGTAGCAGTTCAGACTTTGCCTACAATATTTATTTCCTTGATTTGTTAGATTTAGTATGTTATTACGAAATTTCTCAGATTATCCCGAATGGTAAATCAAAATCGAAAGAGGGGAAGCCACCTGCTGCATGCCCTCAGAATGAAGCGAACAAAAGTCCTGGAAAGAAAGTCGGTCCCAAAATGGAAGCCGGTATACTAAAGGGCGGTTCTGCTGAAAAAGCAAAACGTAGGTGCTTGAGACTTCAGTTCGATTTCCTATTTATTGTTGTTTCTATGACGTTTCACAGGCAATTTCTAAGTTGGAGGTAAACATGCGTCTATATCCATTCTGTGTAAGGAAAAAAGTGAGGGTGCTGATTGAAGTGTACCAAAGAAAAACTTCAAAGACATGAGATTAGGGTCATCCTCAAGCATTCGATTGGAAGGATGCATTCGTGCGAGAGATCAAGAAGCAAGGATGTTTTGTGACGAGAAGGAGCTTCAGGGTCTCTGCTCCTGATGTGATGTCACAACCACCGTCTGAGGATGTGGAACGAGACGATAAACGTGATCCTTGAAAGTGTTATATTTCTATTTATGTATTATACTTATGCCATCCGGACGATAGATGCCTTCATCTGTCACTGGATCACTCGCACTCGGTGAAAGAACGCAGACACTCGTGTACAGACGCCCCCCCCCCCCTTACCTCAAACATCAAGCCCTGACCTCGGCGTTGCGCAAAATGGCGGCACTTTTTTGGTTAGATGACTACAGTGGAAAGTACAACGTCAACCACCGTCTACTGAAGTTGCATAGAAGCTGCCTACTGCCTGTAACGATGCTACATAAGCAGGGTAGTAAGCTAGCAGGCGAGCTTACACCTTCGAAGAGAAATGAATCAATGTTCAGTTGAATGTTCATTTCTGCCTCATTCCAGCTTTTTGCACGAGGAATCATCTCATCTACACGGCGCTCCTCCCTGACTAAAGTTTACTTCGACAACTATATCTCCTGGCTAGAAACCGTTGTTAAACGCCACACAGATTCCACGAGCCTGCTACATCTTTGCGCTCTGGTGTTAAGTGTTGAAGAGGACGCCCTCGCCCAACTACATTGTCATCTAGTTCTTATGCACACATAATGGGTACCTTCCCTAATCAGTTCTCTCTGGTATAGAGACTTGATTTTTTTCACTTTTACTAAGGCAGTTTTCTATAGGAAAGAGATTTAGACGTCGCCCTGCCCGAAAAGTAGTACTCTCGCGTGGCGCAGACTTTGACGCGGCTTACGAAGGCCAGCGCTAACGGTTGACGATGTACTCTGTAGGAACCCAGTAACAGAGTCGCGATATATCCCCTACAATTAGTCAAGCAATCCATTCGCTGCAGTTTCATTGCAAATACGCCGCCTCTTCGAACAATTGTGCATCCTCTCAAATAAGGTCCCATCCCAACTCAACAGAGTTCTTTACCCGCATACGCCATTCATCACTAACATTGGTTACTAGGTCTTCGTGCATAGAATGACGTCTTAGTACATAGGGCGTTAGAACCTACTGCCAATGTCACCTTTCCAGAATTATGCCGTCGTGGCGATTACTTATACTAATGGCGGGCTAAGAGTTTGAAGGGAGCGGTCCTGGCATGTTCCGTCACCAGTTCAGGTGACATTATGAATCGATGGCGTTCAGCATTTTATAGCCGACCCTTTTTACCATGGAAACGTCACTCCACTGGCCTGTTGGAAAATGAATGACTCTCGTTAGTTGAGTCCTCAGCAAGTCAACTTAACTAGGTTAGCGAAAGAGTAAGATCTAATCTCAGGGCTAAGACAGGGCTGCCCAAAAGGAGGAGGCTCTCGGTGGCGATATGTACTTCCAGCGCACGGACACTTGCATCGTATAGAAGCGTGTATGGAATACCTGACGATGCAAGCTAGACAGATCAAATACGACGTCGTCTTACAGACCGGGGTGAGAAGGCATCGGCGTAGGTGCCCTCGTCAATTGGCATTTGGCCATTAACATCGATTAGCACGAAAGCTTAACAACCCGAATAGGTCGTTTGCGATTGAGAAAATGTGGCACAACCCCAGCTCCGACCATCTTCGTTGCCTATGCACCAACACGAAGCTACGAAGAAGAGTTGGAAGCGTGCACTATGTATATGGATCTGGAGAGGATCTACAGAGAAGACCACACTTGCCTTCTGCGCCCGCGCGTATAAGGAGTTCCCAAGCATCGAGAGTCTAGAAGTAGCAAAGAAACGACTCTCTCCGAAAATTTTCGAGATGATGCGCCAGCATGGAATCGCGCGAGCTACAGGCAATCATCAACAAACGTCCGAACTTGCGAAGCTATGCAGAGAAGAGATNAAGGAAGAACTGAAAGAGAGAAAAGCAGCAGTTATGGAAGAAGCCGCCGAGGCTGGGAAGAGCACTCGCAGAGCCCGACGGAGCTTCGTCAATTATAAGAACAACTGACTTCCCTTCGTCGTACTGATCAAACTGTTACTGCGTCTCGAAGGGCAATGGAAAAGGTCATCTACGACTTGTATGCGGATTTCTTCGACAGCCACGTCTACCTGCCTACCCACAATGTCAGGCAACTCGAATATATCGCTCCTCCGGTTCTCGCTTTCGAAATTCGACATGACTTCATGTCGAATTTCATGAAGAATTGTAAGACGCTCGGTCCCGACAAGATCAAACCAGAACATCTGAAAAGTCTTCCACCAGTTATCGTCACAACTCTGGCTAGGCTTTTCACGTTGTACCCTGTCGGAATGCAAAGTGCCCGATTCGTGGAAAACTAGCAAGGCTGTGCTGCTGTATAAAAAGGTAGATCTAGACGATATTGGCAATTATCGCCCAATCTGCCTTTTGTCTATAATCTACAAGCTTTTCACACGCGTCATCCTTAACAGAATTGCAGAATATTAGATGAAGGACAGCCAAGCGAGCAAGCAGGGTTCCGGAGAGGAGTAGGAGAGGTTTCAGTACCTAGTAATCGATCACATCCCCACCGTTAAAAAACTCATTGAGGTATCGCGGGAGCACAAAATGCCGTTATGTCTTACGTTCATCGGTTTGAATATCTATATTTAGTATATAAAGATGGTTCGTGAGTTTCACAACTTTCACGACCAGGATCTAGCCATTCTACAGAGAAATCGTCAACGCGAAGGGAGAGGTTCCACAGGGTGATACCATTTCGCCCAAACTTTTCACTCGAAGGGATTATGCATCGTTCGGGAAGACCTGGGAGTGAAGATCGACTTACATCATCTCCGCTTTGCAGAGGACATCATTCTTATAACAGCGCTAACGAACGAATGCTGGCTGAGTTTGACAGCGCTTATGGAAAGATCAGTTTAAGACTGAAGTAAACGAAGAGATGTTTATAAGGAATGGAAAGGAAACGCGCTGCCTGGGGAGCATTCAAGAATGTTGAGGGAGTAGTGGAGGCAACAAGAGAGGGAGCCTTGCTCCC